CTTGGCCCACTAGCTCTAGCCTCTTATGGGCTAATTCTCATATTTTGCTAACCCATTTCTAATAATCTACATAACACCGGTCTTACCGGGAAAGATTCAGCATGTCTGACCTGGCGGCTTGCTCCATCGCGTCTGGCTCTGAGAGGAACTGCATGATTTCTGACCTCACTTCCTCTTCCTCCCAGCATTCTGTTCTGTTTACTCCACCCACCTATGTTCTTACCTATCAGGGCCAGGGCAGTTTATTTAACCAATGACCTTCCTCCATCATATTCTAGAAAAAAAGCCTTGGGGACATGGATGCTTGTTTCCCTGAAGCTCTCATCTCCTCCTCCTCCTTAGATAGGGCCATTAAGATTATACACTGCTTGAAACCTGGGGCTGGGTTTCAGAGCTACAGATTATTTTTAAGATCTGTTTATTTTAAAGTAAGTGTTTGGCCTGCACACACGCCATGCCCACAGACACCAGGAGAAGACGTCAGACCTCCTGGAACTGGAGTTACAGGCAGTGGTAGGCCAGCTGAGATGGGTGCTGGGAACCAAACTCAGACCCTATACAAGAGCAACTATTCCCCTTAACTGCTCAGTCATGTCTCCCGACCCCCAATAAATGGAAACCCATGTCACTCTTTACCACCCACCTCCACGTGTGAGTACACAGTCACACACACACACACACACACACACACACACACATCATTTGTTCTACCCAAAAAGACTATTCATTTTCATCCATAGGCCTTACTGTCTATGATATCCTGTAAAGACCAGGAAGAGGGAAAAGAACAAAAGCCCCATGTCCTCATGAGTTATGGCTTAACATAGAAACTCAGCCATACAAATAAGAAATAACAAGTCATGTTTTAAGCAGTATGTGAACTGTGTGTGGTAAAAATAGAGCTCACACTTCACGGATGAAGAGCGTCTGTCTTTCAATATTACCTCTGTCGTCTTCACGATTTCATTCCTGGAGGGAGACTGCGGGCAATATCTCACAAGATGGAAGGGGAACATGGACGCCCTTTGCATTTGCTCCTGGTGAGGGACGCAGTGGCACAGACTCCCTGATCTGTTTTGTGCGTTGCCTCCTTCTTTTTCCTAATTGGCTTGTAGGTACAGATAGATCTGTCTCTCTAACGATCATAAGAGATGCTCGAAGGCAGGAAGTAACTGTGTCAGATATTTCTTCTGCGTCTCCTACAGGGTTCAAAATGATGTCATTTTATCAACGCCAATCACCAATCCCCTATGGTGTTCTCGGCCCTGTGTGAAATGCTGTAATGGCAGAGACCGCCAGTGTGTGCCTGTGTCTCACTCAGCAAGCATTCCCTCAAATGGAAGTGTGTGTACGTGGAGATCTGTGTCAGGTAATAAGTGCTCGGCTTTCTCTGCGCTCAGAGGCGATGCTCCATGGGGGGAGGGGGGATAGACATGCACACCGTATTGGCCTGCAAGGGCAGCTATAACAAAGCATCACAAAGCAAGTCGCTCCAGCAACAGAAATGCATTAGATCACACTTCTAGGGGCTATAAGTCCAGGCTCAAGAAGTGGGCCGTGTTGGTCTCTTCTGAGATTTCTGTTCTACACCTCTTGCCTACTTTGGGAGGGGGTGGCTATTACATGAGGGCCGGCTTGTTGGGGTTTCTGTCCCGCCCAGTCCCCCAGCCGTTTAGTCCCAGAGAAAATCACACAGAGAGTCTGCATTAGGTTATAAACTGATTGGCCCATTAGCTCAGTCTTCTTATTAGCTCTTGTAGCTTATATTAACCCATTATTCTTATCTATGTTAGCCACATGGCTCAGTACCTTTCTCAGCAGTGTAGGTCACATCCTACTTCTTCGGTGATCTGGGCAAGAATCCCGAGAGAGCTTCCTTCTTCCCAGAATACTCCTGTTCTCATCGCCCCACCTCTACTTCCTGTCTGCTTTTCCTGCCTATATTTCCTGCCTGTTAGCCAATCAGCATTTATTTAAAATATAATTGACAGAATGTAGACAATTGTCCCGCACCAGGTGGCTGCTGGCCGTTTGAGCAAGGCTTTGTCTTGTAGTTGCGTTGTCCCAATTTCTATCTCCATCTTTACCTAATTCTGCCCAGATTTGCACATCTCCCCATCCAAAGGTCCCCTTAAGGATGCACTCTACTCCAGGTTGACTCGACTGTACCTGCACTGACCTGATTTCCAAATATGGTCACACTGTGAGGTATTGGAAGTTAGGGTTTTAGCACACAAATTTGAGAAGGGGGCACACTTCAACTCCAAAGCCACATAAGCAATGAAGCACAACATGGGCACTATGAGAACTATACAGGGAGCCAGGGGATGGGTGGCACATGAAAGGTAATGGCACTGAGTTAAATAGGCACAAGGGAATGCATTAGGGGGGGAAGGGACACATGCCAAAATGCCAGTGGATAAATGGATGTTCTTTCATGGGGAAAAGAGAAAGAACATTTGAAGAGGAGCAGAAGACAGTATGGTGTGAAGACCCGGGACGGGAGGTATTCAGAAATGAGGCTGGGAAGGAAGTTAGAAGTCAGAACATGGAGGGCCACGTCACAGTGAATGGCCTGGTCTCCACGCATGAAAAGCTAAGACGGGTAACACCCTGGCTGTATGTATCTGCATGATAGAATCCCATTCTGGTGAGTGTGGCTGAGCGCTGAAACGGAGCCATACTGAAAGCCAAGATGCAAGACTTGTTTGTCTGCAAGTCTACGACTTTATGAAGCTCGAGATGCTTCCAAGAGCAGCAGAGAGGGGAAGAGGGAGGTGGGTTTCCACTGGGAAACCGAAGAGAATGGCAGGTCTTGGAAAACCATGTACAGTAGCTTCAGCCCGAGCTGAGAAACCTGGGAGCCCAGACATAAAGAAGCCAAGGAGGAGAGCTCATGCCTGAAAAAGAAAGAGATTTGGGGCATACCTTGAAAATGGTGGCTGGATGGCAGGTCCTACATGCCGAGTACCCACTCTTCTGACTTAGCTTTGCACTCACTTCCTGTCTGACCTCTATACACAGTGTTGCCCTTGACCGTTGTTTTAGATAATTTTGAAGCAGGTTAGAAATAGCACTTCCTGTCCTGGGTCCAGATGAAAATATCTGTTGAGGACACACGGTTCCATTGGCTGGGAGAATCAAAGTCACAAGGCTTATGGCATCTTTGCCAACCCAGAAACAGGCAGCTAGCTTATTATCATAGGTACCATATCATCATCCATTACCTGGCTTTTTAATCTCCTGGCCGTGGTGCCTAACTAGACACAACAAAAGTTGCGAATTTTCTCAGAAACTGACCACCCGTTAAAATTTAACTCTAGATAAAAAGTCAAAGTCCCACAGGCCTCTCCGAGGCCTACGACCATATCCAGTTCATGTGAATTGGCTGGGGACGGTGGATCTTGAGGTTTCTGATTTGAACTTAGCTTTAAGGAATCTTGTCCTTTTCTGGTGTTTTGCATTTCCATATTTTTCTGGGGTTTGTTTTGTTTGTTTTGTTTTGTTTTGTTCTTTACCAAGCTGTAAAGAGTCTCCAACCTAACCTGGTGCATTACAAGAAGTAATTGTAACAGCTGGCTTATCTCCTAGTTATCTAGCACGGGTAAGGGAATAACCTGAGAAGTCTATATGCTTGAACTCAGCGTAAGCCTCTGGGTGGCCTCACAAGGCAAATTTTCATTTACAAGATGCTGAGGCAATAACTCAGTCAGTAAACTCCTTGCCACGCGAACACTAGGACCTGTGTTCAGTCTCCAACACCCACATAAAATCCAAGCTAATTGTGGTGGCATGGGTTTATAATCCCAGCACTGGGGAAGCAGAGATTGGATGATGTCTCGGGTTGACTGACCAGACAATCTAATCTAGTCTAATCCATGAACACCTGGTCCCAGTGGAAGACCCTGCCTTAAAAACAGCAGTGTGGATGGCTTTTGATGAATAACACTTAAGATTGACCTCTGACCTCCACGCGGGTGCACACAGATACACACACATACATTTACACACACACACATTCATCTAAAGATAAGAGGACAGCAGATAACATAAGAAATATTTGACAAAGGGCAGGGAAAACATCCTTGTGAACCCACAAGCCACATACAGTGTCTCAGGCTGGAGACTCCAGCAAGAGACTGGAGATCCTTAACCCATAAAATTAGCATACATAGGCACTTTGCTGCCCAGACAGGCAACAGCTGGCAGAAAGAAAAATGCCTTTTCCTGAACATTCTCCAGGGTGGGGCAACCTCCCCAGGCAGACTCGCATTTTGCTATACTTCCAAATTATAAAACAGAGAGAGCCAGGATTTCAGGGCCACCCCCACGCCCCGCCATCCCCACCGGGCTCCTCAGAAGGAAGGAACACGGGTGGAGAGGTGTAAATGACCTCACAGAATATCGGGAGAAAAAACTAAGAAAGCGGGCTTTCCAATGATTCATCTGGGTGGACTACTTTCACACCAAGCTACATTCAAGAGTTCGGAGTGGGGTCATTTGGGGCCCCTCCAAAGGGGCCCCTCCCTCCCTACCGTTTCCTCTTTTTAAAGTACTGGCAGATTTGGAGTCAAACTCCATCCAAACAGGAAATCACCCAGGTTCTAGGTTTAAAAAAAAAAAAAGCGCCTTATTTTTTTTAAAGGGCAAGTTCTTTTGTGCACAAAGTGAGTGTCTCCAGAGCAAGTGCCTACTATGTTCTGGGCACGTGGTTGTTGTGTTTATGCCCTGCAGGGAGCATGCTCAGAGATGAAGTCCAAACCCCATACACACAGCTGGCAAAGCTTGCAGGAGAAAGGCTTTTAAGGGTTTGCATTGTCCTTCCACCCCTCCTAAAAACTAAAAACGGAAATAAAAGGCTCCAGCCCACCTCACTTGAGTCTACCAGAATAAATATGAAGAGCCCTGACCAGGGAAAGTGGGAGGCCTGGAGCAAAGAGGAGGAAAAGGGGAGGAGAAGAGGGTTGATGACAAGGTGGAAGGGCAGAGCCGGCGGCAGAGGGATTGGGAGTTTGGCTGGAGAGCTACGCCAAAGGCAGGTGCCAGCTGAGAGTGGGCGGAGGTACCGGCGCCAGGCCAGGCAGGAGGGGGGTGGCCAGGCGTTACCTCTGCCTCTAGGAGTTCAGGCGCAGAGACAAGCTCGCCCCGGGGCGCCCCTTCTTCGTCAACTCTCCATTCCCTCCCCTCCTGCCAGCCCGGACCAGGGGAGTCCCTGTCGCCTGCAGGAGGAGCCGCTGCAGGAGGAGCGACAGCATCCTTGGGAGAGATACCCGGGGCTACTACGCAGCCTCCTCCTAGGGGAGAGAGCTCCCCTGCACTCCTTCTCGTGATCACCCCTACCCGGCCACCGGCTACCAGAGCCACCACCCGTGTCTCGGGGACCTCCACCTGCGCGGGTCCCAGGCGAGGGGAACACAGAGCACAGAAGGCTCGAGAAGCGGGTATTCAACCCCAACCCCCCGGTTTCCACTGGGTGAGAAAAGGTGACGTTGTCAACATTGTGAGCTTCCTGCACGCGGTCCCCAAATTCAGGGGCGACACCTTTCCAGAAGGAGCTAATCCCCGGCAGTGAACATTCCAGCTCCTTCGGGACTCCTGGAGCTTCTTCCGTCTGCACCCTAAGTGTTTCCCGGGTCTCTGCTTGGGCCATGCCCGGGCTGCGCAGGGACCGCCTGCTGGCCCTGCTGCTCCTGGGCGCGCTCTTCTCCGCCGACCTCTACTTCCACCTCTGGCCGCGAGTGCAGCGCCAGCTACGGCCCCGCGAGAACCCCGCAGGGTGCCCGTGCTCCGGCCGCGCCCCCTCCGCGTCTCTGCACTCGGCCGCAGCCTCCCGGGATCCTGGCACCGCGGCGCACAACTTTTCCCAAGCCCGGCCCGGGGCTGAGCATCCCAGCCGCGGTCACCCTAGCCCGCGCTCCAAGCTGCAGGCCCTCTTCGCCCACTCGCTTTACCAAATCCCGGAGGAGCCACCTCTCCTGGGGCCCGAAGACTGGCTCCTGGCCAGCCAGGAGGCGCTACGGTATTACCGGAGGAAGGTGGCCCGCTGGAACAGGTGAGGACCCTGCCGGAGAACCCCAGGCGCCGGGCTCCCTTGTCTGAGTCCCTTGCACTGGCTACCCACGCCCACTCCCTTCCTGGGCTGCGGGGACTTCACCCTGCCCTCACAGCCTGGCACTGGGCTTCTTTCCCCATCTGGACCCCCACCAGTTGTTGCAGACTTCAGACGTTAGCCCTGGAGTAAGGTCTCAGTGTGTGAATAATTTCTTTGCAACAGCGAAGACATGCTCCCAGCCACTCCCCTTGAGTTCTCGGGTTCTCTTGCCAGTCTCTTTCCTGATTTCAGGGCCTTCTCAAGCGCGTTTCTCTCCGTCCTGATGTGGACAGCTGCCCTCAGGCCTTTGCTTTCCAGAATGAGGTTTCCAAACAGAGCAGAGCTGGCTCGAATTCAGCACGCACCTCTGCTCTTTGGTCAAACCTGAGCGCTTTGCACAAAGCTATGCCAAATCCCCAAAGACCTTGTCGTCGTCTTCCCCCACCCCCACCCAGTCGTCTTTCTCTCTCTGCCCAGGGTTGGAAACCAAGGAGGTCAGCTGGAGGGAGAGTTAAACTCTCAGCTCTCCGACATGGGCAATCCCTGTTGCTCATTGAACTTGGCTTGTCAGTTTTTGGCCAGTGTTCTGAATTGAAGGCAGTTTGTTATCTTTTATTATCGTGTTGATTTGGGCTGAGGCTTCTGGAGAGGGAGAGGAAGAGAGAGAGAGAGAGAGAGAGAGAGAGAGAGAGAGAGAGAGAGAGCTACGAATTTTGTAAACTGAAAGCAAAATTTAGAGAGAAATATTAAAATATTTATGGTAAATTTAAGAGTGTTTCTGCAGGAGTGGGTTGGAGATGGCGTGGTAGGGACTTAGGGACTGCTGGGGGGGGGGTCCCACTGCTAATGGCAGGAAGCTTTCTTATGAATTAAGGGCTCTTTTTCAAAGTACAGGACTTGTCTGTCACTTGAATCCAGAGTCCCCTTTCCATGCCACACCCATCTGTTAATACCAGAGCTTTCAGAATGAGATGTCAGGAATGGTTTTATAGTCCCTCGGGAAGATGAGAACACCATAAATCTCCGTTGAAACTCGCTGCTAGCCCAATTTAACTGTTTTCTCATTATTCTGCGGGGCTAAAACTGGAGCGGGGGCGGGGGAGAACTTCAGCAAACGAGGAGAAGTTGAAACTTACTGGCTGAGATCACGACAGTGAATTCCGTGTGCAGCCTCTGTGGTTGATGATTTTATATTAGAAAGTGGCGCTTGGTTCTACTGCTAATTGCATGCAATAAAAAGGCAGTTTAAGATTGCTTCGCGAGAGCCGTCACTTTCAATATTACCTTAATTTCATCAATAGTGTGGGAGCATCTTGAATCAGTGAACTAGGAAATCTTGCCCTTTGAAAAATTATCCACACACCAAAAGAAGATTTAAGGATTACAGGCTATGGGCAAAGTTGCTTGCTGTTGTGAATGTAGATGCATGTCTGCCTAGTCTCGTTTCTGTCTCTTAGATTCATTCCCCTGTGTTACTTAGGCCTTGAAGGAAATTCCATGGGAATGTTTTTTTTTTTGGAGGGGTGGGGGGGGAGCAAAAGTCAGCCTCGCCAAGTTGAGCAATTGATTTACAAGCTTGCTTTTGAACAAGGATACAGTGCAATATGCAATTGACTACCCAGAAATGTTGGTCATTCAATAAGAGACCAGTGGGGGCTGGTGGCCTTGCTGTCTTCAGAGTGTCGCTGAAAGTAACAGTTGCCCCAGCAAGGTCCTTGGATGATGATGCGAAAGGTTCAGCTGCTCCTAATTGTGTTGAACTTTGACCTTAGAGACGGAAACCGTATTCCCTCCACCTGAAGGAGTTCTGTAAACAGCAATAGGAGGGTATTAATAAACAAATGTGCTAGAGCCACGCCAGCATCAAAACTGGAACCCACTGGGGTGGGGGATGGTTCAGTTGGTAGAGGGCTTGCCTGGCATTCACGAAGCCCTGAGTTCAACTCTCAGAATATATATGTGTACTGGTGCAGCTTTGTAATCCTGACCCTCAGGAGCCAGAAGGAGGAGCAGAAATTCAAGGCCATCCTCAGCTATTCATTGAGATTGAGACAGGCCTGGGCTACATGAGACCCTGTCTCCACACGCATGGAACCTAAAAGACTCATTGGATTTGAATCATATCAAAAGTTCTACTGTAACCAACCCTTACTGAGGCTTAGATCCTGATAACTATAAGGATACCTGGATGTATTTGTGAACCCCCAAGGACCTTGGTACAGCATCCCGATTCCCCAAGCTGCCATTTAGAATGGGCAACGTAGGGAGAAATAATGAATGACCTGGCCAAGTGTTGTGTCTTGCACAGACAAGTCCTTGTTTGTAGCCACGACTCTGCTAGCATTTAAAAACTAGTGATAAGTGGTACCTCCCTGCCAATAATTACCTAACATTAATTGCTATCCAAAACCAAACCTATAAGCAAACTATCTACCACAGTAGGCGAGGTGGAGCCAATAAAATAGCTAAGCCAGCATTCTTCATGTCTTGCCTAGAGGAGAGCATTATAATCTTAGTGAGTTCTATCGTTTTACTACCGCACTAAGAAATGATGATATTCGGTCAGAAAAAAAAAAATGCCTTTTGTCAAGCAACTGGAGCTAGTTTCCAGTAGGGGGTATATATGGCTTCTTCCACTCCCCACCCCTGGACATTCCTCTTTGATTTCACACAGTGCCAGATGGAGTTTGTGCACTGTCTTGAATGTTTCGATTCTCACCCCATGGCAATTTATTGAAGGTCAGTATTTTAGTTAGGTCAAAGTGTGGAAGCGACACTGTGTTGGGTGGGCTGGCTGTGTGTCCTCTGACCCTGAAGACTGGGCCAGCCTCCTTCCTCGACAGGTTTTCCTCGCCTTCCTGCCTGCCTCTCTCTTATTCAAAATGCAACTGAGTGTGGCACGGTCCAAGTTTAAAATGTAATCAGGGAAAGAGTTCCTGTCAGGGTGTCAGCTGCTGATCACAGCGAGCAAGCCAATGCCAGGCTCCGTCAGCCTTGATGACACCTCTGGCACCTGTCTGGAATATCAAAAAGGCAGGCGGACAAGGAGCAGGGTTCACTATCTCAGGCCATAAACTAACTACTCAGAACCGTCCCACTTTTATTGCTCTTCCTTAGTAGGCAGCGGTGGCCATGAGGCTTACCTTTATCCGAGGTAAGGGTTCACATTCGTGGCTATCCTGACACTCTTAGTGACTGATCTTGGAGTTTCTTCTGTAGTCCACAGCTTCCCCAGCCAGAGAATGTCTGTCCTGAGACAGACATGTCACAACTGGAAAGTTTGGCCTGGCCTTTTGCCCACATATCTTTGGTCAGTTCTTCTTCTATAATCCTCTGGTCTCGGTGGTCAAGGTCAAACAGGGTCAGGCTGCCCTTGTGTAGAAACTGCAGCAGCTGAGCAGCTGGAACGCAAGTATGAGTTCTCCGCTCTCCGCTTTTCTCCCCGTGTGTCTTCCACTGATGTGGATACTGGCCGGCGATCACAGATTCAGCATCTCTCAGAAGGGTGTGTGTGTGTGTGTGTGTGTGTGTGTGTGTGTGTGTGTGCACGCGCGTGCGCATGTGTGCCTATCCCAAGTTTCTCTACCATTCCCCTCTCCAGCATCCTTGTTGTCACGGAAAGGAACCCTGGCCCAAAGTCTCTCTTTAGAAGTCACAGCAAAGAGACTGGGCAGTTTTTCAAAAGTGACAGTTGTTCAAGAGGAGCAAGTTGGCCAAAGTTTTTCTGGGGGAAGTCCTGAGAAGATCCAGAAACAGGGCTGACAGACGAAAACAGGGAGAAAAGGCCAGGAGTGGAGAAAAAAAAAAAAAAAGGACTCTGCTGGAAATAAGAACTGTCTAGCTAAGGATTTTCAAAGGATTAACTCCCTCCTCCCACGGCAGTGTGCAAGGAGCAAGGGCACCTCTTCTTTCCCTTCCCCTCCTCAGTGCCCTTGTAGAGTTCTCTGGCTTACCCCGCGGCTACACCAGACCATCCTCCGCATCCATTTCTCACGAACAATTCAGCCTTCAGGGTGCCCAGAGTTCAGGCACACTGTCATAGACGGTGGCCATTCGCCTTTCTCCCAGAGTCAGTAGGACTTTGGTCTTTATCTGAGCATTCTTTCAGCAATGCCAGGCTGAGAGAGAAATGGTCTCCCAGGATTTGGGAACGCTCCCCAGCCACAGCCTCCATGTGGTGGGCAACTGGCGTGGGTATTCATTTCCATTCGTCTTAATTAGAGCCTGGCTGGGCTGATTTGGGAAAAACTATTATTTTGGTGGTTTCAGGGACCTCAGGCTGCTCAGAATCAGAAACCACAGGCAGATGGTTTCTGAGTGAGTTAGTCCAGAAGGCCAGGCCAGGCTCCTTTCTCATTGTACACTGGTTCTCACTGCCTTCACCTCAACAAAGAACTAAAGCAGGGGAGTACCACTGATGGCCATTCAAGGAAGCTGTCATATCTGTTTCCAAACGGATCAAAAGGAAGACCCTCAGTGAAGAGCCACAAGTCATGCCGTTGTTTCCAGTCCCAAACCATCTTTCTCCTCAACCATTTTTTTTTTTTCATCAATTCTGGAAACTTGAGTGGCTAATCCTTCATGTGTAAATCCTCCTACCTGAAGCACGGTTGTTTCACACCAGTTCCTTCACACATGATTGTTCACGTGGGTCTGTGTAGAAGTAGGTAGATGTGATCAGAAGACGTCCAGGATGGCCTCTTAAGATTTCCAGCCCTGGTATATGCACACACACACACACACACACACACACACACACCTATTCTAGTAACCCAGACCAATTGCATTGTGTGTCTGCTGTAAATATATTTTGTAAGATGCCTCAGAACATGGAAACTGTCTGGCATATCTGATCTGATCACAGATCCCTAAATCAAGATCCCTTGAGTCTGTAGGCAAGGAGCAAACCAGAAAGTTTGACTGTTGCTTGCTGACTTCAAGGGAAAGGAGACATAAATGACCTTTCAGGCTCCAGATTGACACTTGCTGACACACGGCAAGAGAGAGAGAGAGAGAGAGAGAGAGAGAGAGAGAGAGAGAGAGAGAGAGAGAGAGAGAATATTAGGTCCTACACCCCCAGAAAATGAATTCTGTCTGTAGGAATGAACCTGGAAACAGGGAGGTACAGGCTGTACCTCACTCCACACTCCCCAGAGCCTCTAAACAAGAATCCAACTCAGTCAGGACCTCAACTTCAACCTTGTGTGACCCCCCACACACACAGGTTGCAGATCCACCCAGAACCAGGCCTCGAACGCTCAAACCTGGGGAGGGCGATATAGGGAGGGGAGGAGCCTAAGCTATAAGCTTTGTAATAATCCACAGCACAGCAATGGGAGGTAAACACCCTGCTACTATTTAGTCTGCTGTGTGGAGGAGACCGATGAGACTGTCATACCAGCTGCCCAAAGTCACCAAAGCTGCAGAAAGCAAACCATACCAGGCTTTGGACTCAGAAAGGGTGGCTCCAGAATCGTGTCTATAACTAGCAACTCCCCAGCCACACCCCAGCTTGGGGAAAGCCTCTTCTGGCAATAGTCCCCACCCTGGTTCTGCTGTGCTGTATGCACGCTCTCCGCGTAGGCCACAAAGTTTCACATGCCCGTCTGCTATGCCCGGCTACCACTCCACGGAGCCTGGAGTGAGACATGAAGATGAATGGTGACTTGGTCTTTGCATTGTAGGCCCCAGCTGTGCACAATCACCCCGTACATCTGCCCCATGTTCTGCCATGGTGTAGATCCCTAGTAAAGGTCTGTGGAGTGCGCAATTGTGAAGAATGACGCCGGGATTGGGGGCTATCAGTAGCTAACCGTCTCCTACGGGAAACGCCTTGGATAAAACAGACCTCGACTGTAAAGCCACCCCACGTATGACTTCATGACTCCTCTCCTATAAAAGTCAAAAGCCAAACCACCCTGAGGAGCCAATGTGAGATCTGGGTCTGGGTTCACTCGCTATGGTAGGAGCCTGAAGAAAATCAAGTTGGGGCCTGAGACAGAAGCAAAATGGAAAGTTGAGACGGTGCCATTTGCTAAGATGAAGGAATTTCTTTAGCATCTTTTGCTCCCTTAAGAAGAGCAGCCAAGAAGCCTTGCATGAAATAAAAATGGGAAACACAGAGGCCTTGGCTTTGCCAAAATGGTCCCTGCCCTGTCCCTTGGCAGGTACCCACCTATACTTTTCTCGTGATTATTCATTAAGCTGGAAGCCGATGAGGAGCTGCGGGTTTCGCTGAAGTATGCCTGCGGATGGCTCGAAGCCCAGTGGGGATAGTGTTCTAAACAGCTGTGGCTTCAGCGGAGCAGAAGCTACTGGGCATGAATGATTACCTGTTATTATAGGCGGGCACTCACGTATAAGCCTAATCAAAACCAAAGTACGGGAGAAAAAAAAAAACCCTTAACTCTCTCTGTGCCCTGTCCCTTGGCACGATGTCCTATGACTGAAGTGGGAAATCAGGACACAACTGAGTTTGAGCACTCTGGGGAGAGGCCAGTGTTCAAGACTTTCCACCCATGGAGCTTGGCTTTAGGGGCCAAGCCCTGGGGGCAGCCAGGAGAATTTGGCTGGAGCAGTAAGAGACAAAGTGAAGTCCCAGAAAGGGCCTGTTTTATTGGATTTGCTAGTAATAAGCCAGATAATAAATCTGTGGAGCCACAGGAAACAGAGCACCATAAGGGACTCTGGGTCCTAAGAAGTCCAGTGCCTGTAATAAACTCAGCCAAACAAAGGCTGGCAGAAGGGCTGGGGAGACAGCTCAGTGGGTAAAGTGCTTTGCGACACAGGCATGAGGCATTCGGGTTCAGTGGTGCACACCTGTAATTTTAACACTGGGGAGGTAATGACAGGAGATTCCTGGGACTTGTTGGCCAGCCAGTCTTAAGAAATGGGTGAGCTCCAGGTTCAGTGAGAGACCCTCTCTCATAGATAGATAGATAGATAGATAGATAGATAGATAGATAGATAGATTAGAGATAGACAGACAGACAGCATATAGGTAGATAGATAGATAGATAGATAGATAGATAGATAGATAGATGATAGATATACAGACAGCATATAGATAGATAGATAGATATACAGACAGCAGATAGATAGATAGATAGATAGATAGATAGATAGATAGATAGATAGATAGATAGATAGATAAGATGGAGAGCAACTGAGGAAGAGACCTGATGTCAACTTCTGGCCTCTGTGATCATATGCATTCTCTCTCTCTCTCTCTCTCTCTCTCTCTCTCTCTCTCTCTCTCCCTCCCTCCCTCTTTCCCTCCCCGTTTCCTCTCCCTCTCTCTCTCTTTTTCTCACTCTGTGTTTCTATATGTGTGTGTCTCTCTGTCTTTGTCTCTGTCCTTGTTGCACATGAACACTTGTGTGCATGCATGCACATGCACGCGTGCACACACACCACACACACACACACACACACACACACACACAATGGCACAGGAGGATGTGACTGAGAAATTGGATCATAAGAAGCATGGTGGCCTCGATTTGTTTTCCCACAATGGATGCCAAGCCCAAGCTAGAGCCCCTGCCACTGCTCCACCACCGAGCCCAAGACACACACTGAGGAAAATCAGAGCTGTTCATCTACTCAGCTAAGCGCGGCTTGCAGACCGCAAACCTGCTTCAGCTGCCAGCATTTGATGGTGCTAACCGAGATAAAATCTACACAAAGGGACAGATCATCATCTCTCCTGGCCCAGTCACATGTCCCAGAGGGGCTGAGTTTCAGCAGTTGACATGGGCATATGTCTATGTCTGGTTCATTTTTCTTTAACGGCAGAAAACTCGCAGATCCTGTAGGGAAAGTGCGTATCTGTTCTCACAGCTCAGCTCCTGCTCCTTATTACTCTGATAAGAATTATGCATCCCCAGTAATGCCCCTTATTCCTACACCCTGTGCTCCCTGAGCACTCAGGAAAGAAAAGGTCAGGCTGAGTGACCCCAATTCTATAATCAAATCCAGCCTCCTATATTAACCAAAGTTTCATTGTGGGGGGGATTTAAACTGGGGTCACTGTATCCAACTGAGTTCAGGTAGGATCCACATTTCCCTTAAATTATGCAAAATTTGCATTCTGAGCATATGTTCGGCCTCCTAGGAAACAGTTCATTAGACTTGCAAAGTACTCCTGGTGTTCTTTGGGATACATTGGCTTAATGAATTAGAAACCCAACTCAAGGCAGCTCAAGCAGGGCTGGGAACAAAAGTAAGGTTTGGGAAGCCAAACCTAGGAGAAAGAGAGGGCTAGCCACATGCAGCAGAAGCAACCTCTGACCTGTCTCCATTCCTGCTGGCCACCGCTCCCCTCCCTGTCCAGCCCTTCCTGTCCCTGCTCTCCCTCTCTGCAGCTCACCTGTATTCACCTATTCCTGAGAATCACATTCCAGCAGGAGCCAGAGGCCCCTTGCTGCTGCTGCTGCTGCTGCTGCTGCTGCTGCTGCTGCTGCTGCTGCTTCTTCTTCTTCTTCTTCTTCTTCTTCTTCTTCTTCTTCTTCTTCTTCTTCTTCTTCTTCTTCTTCTTCTTCTCCTTCTCCTCCTCCTCGTCCTCCTCCTCCTCCTCCCCTCCTCCTCCTCTTCCTCTTCCTCTTCTTCTTCTTCTTCTTCCTCCTCCTCCTCCTCCTCTTTTTCTTCCTCTTCTCCTCCTCCTCCTTCCCTTCCTTATGAAGTCACTATCCCACTGACCCAGACTCCCCCTATGGCTTCAGGTGTCTCTGCATAGAAACCCTGGCAAAAATATCCAATAAGAATCAAAGGTACGGGGGCTGGAGAGATGGCTCAATGGTTAAGAACATTGCCTGTTCTTCCAAAGGTCCTGAGTTCAATTCCCAGCAACCGCATGGTGGCTCACAACCATCTGTAATGAGATCTGGTGCCCTCTTCTGGCCTGCAGGCATACATGCGGACAGAATACTGAGAATACTGTATACATAATAAATAAATAAATAAATCTTTTAAAAAAAAAAAAAAAGAATCAAAGGTGCGGGCCTCAGGCTAGGACACTGCAGAAACCAAGAACCTCTGGGAAAAGCCACTATTTGCATTACCTGCTTCAAACACTGCCGGGAGCACAGCGATTGAAGGGAAGAAGGGCTTGTCTTGGCTCGCAGTTGGAGGGTGCTATCCTTTATGTCAGAGCAGTCATGGCAGCCGGAGCTTGAAGCAACTGTTCATATTACAAGTGCAGCCTGGAGGCTGAGAGAAAATGCTGGTATTCACCCTGCTTTCTCCTTTGTATTCAGGTAGAGACTCCCCAGCCCATGGAATCCTGTCACCCACATTTAAGGTGGGCCTTCCCACCTCAGCTCACCTGATCTAAAAATGACCTCACTGAATTGTGCAGAGGTTTGTTTCTCAGGTGAGCTTAGGTCCTATCAATATTAACCATCACACCACTCAAAGAAATAAATACAGCACTCAGGAGGCAGAGGCAAGTCTCTGTGAGTTCGAGGCCAACCTGGTCTACAGAGCAAGTTCCAGGATAGCCAGGACTGTTATACAGAGAAAATCCTGTCTTGAAAAACCACAATAAACAAATAAATAAATATTTAAAAGTAAACAAATAGCTTCACTGCAACTCCATGGCACCAAAGCAATATGTAGAAAAATGCATGCTCTGTGTTTATAGTTATAACCACAGCATTATTTTGATATATAATATTATTTTGTATAGTGGTCAGAATCAAAGAATGGAGATCCCCTAGTTCAGTTTACTATGAGAAAACAAAAATGCCAGAGTTCCTACTACAAATGTTTCTGCCTCCCTAACCTGGAGCCCCTACAGAGAACTCTTCTTGGTCCACCCGGTTCCAGCTGGGTACCCGAGACGTCACACTTCTAGCCTGTTGGAAGCTACTACAGGATCACCCTGCAGCTCCCAAACAACAGGAAATGAGGTGTGGTACTGACATGAAGGCTGCCATTGTCTCTGTCGATGATGGTGCCTTCAAACAACAGCAGTTTGCCACCCTGCAGCACTGGAGTGACGCAGCCTGGGTACCAGCCAGGAACGCCCCCTCCAGCAGCTCCAGGGAGACTTTAGTCTTTGCCTCATCTGACTTCTGGGGGCTGATGGCATCCCATGCCCTCTGGCCAACACTACAGCGGGTCTCAGGGCCACAGCTCTGCCTCTTCTATCCCTATATGCACCTGTCTTCTCTCCTGCCTGTGTGGACATGTCTCTTCTATCCATGTGTACATATCTCCTGTCTGTCTCTGTTTATACCTGTCTCCTGTTTATCTGCATGTACTTGTCCCCTGTCTGTCTGTATATACCTGTCTCCTGTCTGTCTGCATGTACATGTCTCCTGTCTGTGTGTACATGTCCCCTGTCTGTGTGTACCTGTCTCCTCTATCCATATCTCCATCTCTCCTCTCCTGTCTATGTGTACACATCTCTCCTGTCTGTCTGGACATGCCCCCCCATCTGTCTGGACGTGTCTCCTCCCTGTCTATCTTTCCCCTCCAAGACATTTGCCATTAAATTCATGACCTATCTACATAATCCAATCTCGTCTCAAGAGCCTTAACTCAGTTACATCCACAGAGTCGTTTGCCAAATGAAGACCTATTTACAAGCTCGGGGTAATAGGCCAGGAAAGTATTATTTGGAAAACCATTCATCCAGGGACAGTTATATTTCATTACAGATTTAAGCTCTATGTAGTTATCTTTTCAAATGTTTTTGAAACCTTTTAGATAAAAGAGAATCCAAGATTATCTGTTAGATAAGCTTCCAGATATATCATAAAATAATCATGATCTGTTTCAACATAAAATAAAACATAGCTGAAAAATAGGTCAAAGAGAAAAGAGACTCAAGATGAGTGGAGCTGGTTTGTATGGAGTTCCTTACCTTTGCCGAGAAAACCTGCCGGAGTCAGCTCTACTTAGAAACCACCATGTCTATAAGCAGAGGCCTGGAAAAGCACAGTGAGCCCCTGGAGATGACTCAGCCGAGGAATGTCTTCTCCAAGGCCCTCCTGTCCTCCCCACATCACTGCCACCACCACCACAAGTCATAGCGTTGCGTAAGGACTGGCATCCTCCTCCACATTCTTAGGAGAGCCTCCCCCAGATATCCCTCAGCATAAGCACCATGTAATTATGCTCACTCAGACCCACACCAGGGTCCTGGTACTCAAGCCTCTGTCTTGCTTTTGAAAGAAGGTAAAGTCTTGAGGATCTGGTGCAGTGGGCACCCAACATCCTTTGGACCATCCTCCATGAGCCTTACCTTTTTGACAGAGTTCCTGATGGGCACCTGAGTGACAGTTCATTAAGATAAAACTCCAGCAGAACCTGGACTGCAGATTTTCAAGGCTGTCGTTCAGTGCAAAGAAACAGAACTAGCAATTAGATGAAGTTGGGAGTGGGAACAAAAGGTCCTTTGTGCAGGCCATACAGCCAAACAGGCTAGGTAGGTGGACTCCAAGTCACTGACCTCCATCCAAAGGGAAACCAGAGGTCCCCAGGTTAGCTAGATGCTCCCCAGACTATACTTTCAGGTCTGCTGTGATGAGCCAATGAGTAATTAATCAATATGCCATGGATGTGGCTGCAAAATTGGGAGCTAAGAAAAAATTTAAATCAATCTTAACCAAATGAAAACCATCGATAAAACCATCGTTGAATGCCTAATGCACCGTGGCCTCTCCAGGTTAAACTCATTACAAAGCAAACACCCAGTTACCTACAATGGGTAACATCTGTTCCCTTATTAGCTATAAACCCATTAAAAGATAGGAGAAGCCAGCCAAAAACTGTAATCTTCGATTTATATAATTATGATCCCTTTCTTTGGCAGCCATGGAGTCTATGGTCTAGTAAAATAACGTATGCTTTATGATAGCAAAACCATGTCACCTACATCCATGAAAAGTGTGTCTTCCCTAATCTCCTGGTAAGGAGTGCTGTGCTCCATTCATTGGAAGTATCCTCTACCGACAAAAGTATAATTTAATAAGCAGTACACTGGAAGAGCTGAATTCCTCTGGACACAGCCAGCTGGCTCTTCCTGTTCTCCTGGCCTTCCTCACAATAGGAAAGCTTTCTCTCCTGCCAACCAGAGGGGATCTTTGAGTGCTTCTTTTCCCCAAGCCCTGTTTTACTCTCCCATATCACAACTTGCTATGGTCCTGTTACTGATTTATCAATAACCTCACTGGATTCTAAGCTCTTTAAGGGTTGTTTGGGATTAAATAAGGGCTCCACGTTCTAACCTCCAGGTCTTAGGGCCAGCATCTTGCTCTGGAGAGTAACTCTTTTTAAATAATTAAATCAAGAATAACTTTTGGTTGATTTAGTTAAGATGATAGGAAGGCTCATTGGGGGATTATCAAAATGGTCCCCAAATCCATTGTCAAATGTCCTTATAAGAGGAAGATTAGACACAAACAGAGGAGGTGGCCAAGCCTGCAGAGGCTGGAATGAGGCATCCATTGTGACAGTGACGGCTATGGAAAAAGCAAAGAATGGATCCTCACCCAGAGTCCCTAAAGGAGCTTGGCCCTCCTGGCAACCTGTCTTTCAGACTCTTAGGTTCAAACTGTGAGAGAATATGTTATTTTAAGCCACCAAATTTGTGATGGCTAGATGCCGCAGACAGAGGACATTCATAAAAAGATGAAGGGATGTTTGTTCCCTTACCTAAAATATTACTTGTATGGTGTAGGTGCTCATAAAATACCTAGTGAATGAATGAATGAATGAATGAATGGGTGGGTAGGTGGGTGAATGAATGAGTGGGTAAGTGAGTGAATGAATGAGTGGGTGGGTGAGCAGGTGGAATGAGTGGGTGATTGAATGAATGAATGAATGAATGAATGGGTGAGTGAATGAATAAATGAATGAATGAGTGGGTGGGTGGGTGAGTAAATGAATGAGTGGATGAACGAATGAATGAGTGGATGAGTGAATGAATGAGTCAGTGAATGAATGAGTGAGTGGGTGGCTGGGTGAGTGGGTGGGGTGAAAGCCTAGACAGCTTAAGGAGCTCCGTAGGCAACACTGAATTCTGTCATGGCCACCTCCTATGTGCCGTGAAACCCGAGGCTGATTTCCTCCAGCCTGAGTTTCCTGGTCTGTGAAGGAGGGTGTGATTCGCATCCTGTGGGTGCCTGGTGCCTTCCACACTGAACCCCCAGTCGTGAAAGACACAAGTTGGTTTCCGCTAACATTCCACTTGAGTTTTTTGGTTCCCAGCAAAATCCTGCCCTCTCCGTTTATGTTTGGTGGTTGGGCTGATGGTGAAGAAACAGTGTCTGTGGTCTCCCATGCCAGGAAAAAGTACCCTCGCTTGCAGGCTGATCATTGCCCTTGTTTGACGTAGCCAGAGCTGGCTCTTCCACAAAGAAACTATGAAATGATCTCTCTCCCTCAACACCGAGATGTCAAACACTAGACCTTGGAGGTGGAGAGAAAACAGGGTGGTCTGTGTCTGCAGTGTGCTCACCTGTTTCAGAATCAATCTCTCTCTCTCTCTCTCTCTCTCTCTCTCTCTCTCTCTCTCTCTCTCTCTCCAGATTCTAGGAAGCCCCTTTTCTTTGCCTCTCATAAAACTGTATTAAATGGGCTGATCTCAGCTTATGGGAGACTTTTCCCATCAAGCCTTATCTCTATGGACCTTGTCAGACAGACGCTTCTGACACATGCCAGCACTGTTCAGCACAGTGTTAATATCTAGTGTCATTTAACCCTCAGAACTCCATATGCAGGTACCATTACTATCCACGTTTTGGGACTAGGGAAAGGCTCATCCAGGCTAGGTTACACAAGAAACTGGACTTCGGAGTCAAGGAGATGCTTCCAGCACAAGAAACTCAGATCCTTCCTTGTGTTGTAAGTCACATAGCATTGACATAAAAGAAAAAGTGGGGTGGGGTGGTAGTGTACACCTGATATCAGCACTGGGGAGATGGCAAAAGAAGATTCCTGGGCTCCTAAAACAACCAGCCTCAGTTCAGTGAGGAACCCTGACTCAGAAGCAAACAAGGTGGAAAATACCTGAAGAACCAGAGCTGAGGATATCCTCTGGCTCCCAAAAACATACTCACATCCTCATCCTCCTATACACACCACACACATACACGCTACACACACACACACACACACACACACACTGGATTTCAGGTCAGGTCTTTTCAACTCTAGAAGTGAAATTCAACACTGAGTTTAACTTCAACTCATGCTTCAGACAGGTCCTAGAAACAAGGATGAGATGAACACAAGTCCAGGAGGTTTTCGGCCCAGGGGTTCTCAGGGCTTCAGTTCTTGTGGAGGCTCAGACATCAGGGAGACTTCCATGGAAGTGTAAACCATGAAAGCTGTAAAGACAGAGCGGCTCATCATTCTTTAGACATAGTTGTGTTGTTGTTGTTGTTGCTGTTGCTGCTGCTGCTGCTGTTTTACACCCAAAGTGTTGGACTTCCTATGACTGATGGGGGATTGTTGCTGATAGGGTCTTCTGATCAAATTCTGGTGTCTTCTTGAGTTTTGTCATAAGGCCGGCTGCTGAGAGTGCCACAGTCATTGGCACAAGTTCCTGGCTCCTGAATTTTTAAAATGCTGATAGCGTGAGGACCATCTGTGAGGACAGAACAGGTTAAATTGGAACAAGATCGGTGCTGTGTAAAGTTTACCTGTTGTCTACATTCAGACTCATTTGGGGTCACTGGTTGCTCTGGAATATAATTTGCTTGTTTTCCTCATTGGGGCAGACCTCTCCATGGTCTCCAACCCAGGGTATGAACACATTCTCCTTTGGGTGCCTCTCCAGAAGCCACGCCACCCTCTGGATAGGTATTACACAATAGCCGAGCCAGGGCTGTGGACATACAGGGTCAGGACAAGGTCGGCACCCAGGCATTGCAGAGTCCCATTGCAACACAGCCAGAATCCAGCTCCAAGAAGAGGAAGCAATGTGTCCTTATCACCGAGGGAGGACTAACGTGTCAGGAAATGGGTACTATCGCTAAAATCTCTCTAAAATATCAGTCCAGTCATTGCTTTCGTAAGAGCAAACAGATGACAAACTCCTGTGCTTCCCCCCACACCACGATCACAGTTTTCAAGATAGTGACGTCAAAAAGTCAAATCAGCTTCCTCATTAATTTTTTAGCGTACAAAAATAATGTGTTTCATTATGTGTCCTTCATATGTGTAGATCATTCATAGTCACTCATTAACTTCTTTTGTCCCTTCATATATAATAGATAAACCTTAATTCCACATATCAGAGAAAGCAGACAATTTGTTCTTTTCCCCATCACCGTGTCTTATCCCCCTTCCCGCCACGCCACCCTTTCTACTTTTCAGTCACTATAAAATCTAGATTCTGCATATGAAAAACACGTGCGGCATTCATCTTTCTCATCTGATTGATCTGTCTTAACATGATGCTCTCTGTTTCCAGTCCGTTTTCTTGCAAGTGACATGTTAATTTTTATTTAACACCGTTGTAGGTGTGTATGCATATGTGTAGATACACACCCCACTTTCTTTATCCATCCCTCGGTGGATGAGCCTCTAGATTAGTTTCCTATCTTGTCTCTTGGGACTAGCAGAGCAGTAAACACTGGTGTGCACGTGTCTCTCTGTGTGTGCTAGCCTGAAAATGTACCTGAGTGGCATAACTGGGTTGTGTGGTAGATCTATTTCTAGTTTTCTGAGGACCCGCCATACTGCTTTCCATAGTGACTTTGCTAATTTGCTTGCCCATCAAATTAAATTCTTAACAAGGCATCGGCTCCTCTCAAGCCACTGGGGAAGAATGGGAGAGGCTCTGGTCAAAACCGGCTTCAAATCCTTTTCCACTTAACTGTTACTACTTCTTCTTGTGGACCTTGGTCTTCTTAATGTTCAGGACTTGAGAGTACTATGGTAAGATAATATGGCCAAATGACCCAAATCTCTGCCTTCAATAAGCTTTACACAAATGTACATTATTAATGGTGTTAAGGTCAAGGAAATCATTTAGTAGAGGCGATACTATTCAGTAAAATCGATATATTGTCTTGTGTGTGACAGATCCCTTGCAATTAGGTGGGTCGTGTGACCAGCTCTAGCTAATGGGAATTCAGTAGCAGTTGCCAATCACTTCTTGAAGAAGTGCTGAGATTCTAGTGCTGAACCCTATGGCTCCTTTCTTGCCTTGAGGAACCAAAGTCCATGTTATTGGGATCCTCGGTGGCTATCACACTGGTCATTCTATGGAGCAGAAGCCCTTACGAATTTGGTTAGGCACGCAGTAGAACTGAGAAATCCATCTTGGTTGTGGTAAGTCCCTGAGGGTAGGCGATTAAAATGTCACTGTAACAGAACCAAACACGGAAAGTCAATGAGTAGATGAATTGTGCCCCACCAACTCAATCATGAAAGAAATGAAACACTGACTTAGTTTTCAGAAATCAGGTCAAATGGTAATCTAAGACCCTTTTTAGTAGTAAGATGGCTGGAAACTCCATCTCAGTCATCACAGAGCCCCTTCAAGCAAACCCCTTATACCCCAGGTCCTTAAGGTCCAGGCGCTGCTACATCTGAAGAAGGCACATCCCTGCTGCATCGCCACACACATGTGGGTGGTACCATTGCTCTGCGTCAGTTTCCAGCACAAGACGATTGGCTGAGGCTGAATTCCCATCCCGATGCCTAAAACGAGTCTTCCTTGGTACCACCCAGGCGAGCCTCACCAGACCACGCAGCCAACTTTCCTCTCCTCCCGTGGGAAAAAAACTTCATGCTTCTCCCAACTTTTATCCACGTCCTACCCCATCAGTATGCATAGCATGTTCCCTCTCCAAATCTACACTTTCAAAAAAATAAATAAATAAAGCAGGGAAGGAGGAAAAAGAACGCCAGTCTGCTGTCTCCACTTTTACTTGGTCCTGAATCATAATTGCCCTTTTAGAGAAGGAAGCATGAAGGGCCCAGCTACCTTCTTGTAACAGACGTGTAGGAAGTTCCAGAAGACAAAAAAAGAAAAAAAAACCAGCATGAATTTCTCAACAAATTTTCCAGCCACACGGTTGACTGCTCATGCTGAGGAGGGAAAGAGGCCAAATCCACAATTACGATCCATTTGTAAATCAAGTGGAAAATAATAGCATGCAAATCAGCCCTGGTTCATAGGCCAGCGACTGGAAAAAATTTAATCTGGGTGGATCACAAGGAAATTTGCCTACAAGCCACAGAAAACATAAGCCTGTTGCAAGCCCCTCCGTTCTTCAGATACCATTCTCTTCCAATAACTCACGCCTGTGACATGGGCAATGGGGCAAAGTTCAAACTGTTGTTGGAAAATAAATATATCCTAGCAAACTCTTGACTATTTTAGATTCCAGGGTGTGTATTTTTAAACCTCCTGAGTTTTCTTGGTCTGCTCAAAGTGTCATCTTTAGGCCACATTTCTGCTTTCTATGCTCGGAAAAATGATTAGAGGAAAGAAAGGACTCATATCCACCAAATCAATGTCATTTACTAAAACTGGAGTGTGTGTGTGTGTGTGTGTGTGTGTGTGTGTGTGTGTGAAGATATTCATGTGTATATGTATCTATGTATGCATATGTGTATATGAGTATGTGTGTATGCATATATGTGTGTTATGTATATGCTTATGTGTATGTATATTTGTATGAATGTGTGTACATGTATACATGTAT